AATCTCAATATTTCCATTGCTGTGTCCTCCAGTTCACCTTGTATTCCTATAAAAAGTGTTTGTCACAGGCTGGTTCAATCTGCAAAATTAACACAAATGAGTTTACTAGAAAGATTAGTTTTGATGCCTGAATTTTGCTTATGATTTTATAAATGCCCTTTTATTTACTTAGTCCCTGGCCTGCTTTAAATATTTCTATTATTTCTACATCTGACTGAATCAGTAATTTCCTTGTTGTGGTTTATCTGGGAGATCGAATCTACTTGGACTTGCTTGATTTACATCTGTTTTTTTTATAAACATGCTAGCAGCAGATTTGGGTCTGGGCTAAACTGCTGAATTCTACATTTTCCCTAATCACTGAATGCATTTAGATAATGATCCTTTCAATATATTCACTTTTTATTTCACATTCTTTTATGTAAACCTTACCATCTATAGTAGCCTTTCTTGAGCAGTAAATTAAAATTTCTGCAGGAAATAGGTTTGTATATTTGTATTCAGTGGTAACCAATATGAGATTTTGGCTAGAAAAGAAACGCTTCTCAACAACAGTGCTGATCCCATGGGATAGGTAATAAAACTGGAAAGAGGAATTACAGTAACTCTCAGACTAATAAGAATTTAAAATTAAAAGGCAAATATTTATCAAAAGGTGATGACTGATCTGTATTTACTGTAAATTATATGGTGTGTAAGCCTGGAAGAGTAATTGAAAACTACTGGTTCTCCAGATGGTTCCTACAGGGATCTCCTTGGACTTTTTTGACAGGGAAGTGTGAATAGAGCAGCGAAAGTCCAAAGGAATTCTGCGTTTTGTTGTAAATGGAAAGCAATGGGAAATGGAAAAGCCACTGTTGAGGCTTGTTGGTGAGCAGGGCTTTGCCACCTGTGTAGAGTTAACCTGGATCCATGGCTATAAACCAGGGATTTCATCAGCTCCTGGTGGGTTTTGGATGTCCAGTTCCCATTCCAGTTCCTACGGTGAGTATTCATTCAGCATTCCCAAGGTAGGATCCAGCAGGGCACAAGGAGCAGAATGGACCACAGTGGAACCACAGGGTGGAGACAGGGAACATTTTAATCCGGGATTTTTCTAGCACTGTTTAGTGCATGGAAAAGGTAACTTGCTTCGGGTTTCTCTGTAGCTTTTGTGAGCATTAGTGCTGAAAATCAGTTTGCTCTAAGTTTCCCTGTGGTACTGATGGAGTTAAGAGCTCTGGAAGAGGAGAGGGTGATGCTCCGAACAGGAGCTCGCAGATGGAGCTGCAGAAGGAGCCTCAGGCGGTGAAGTTCAGCATTCACCGAGGAGCTGCACAAACCCCACCCAGACAGTCCCGAATGTGTCCGCAGCTGCTCGGGAGCACCGCTGCGCTGACAGCAGTGACAAGGAGCGGCATTCTGTGCTGCCCGTCCCTTCCAAGCGCCTCCTCGGGAACCCCGCGGGGCCCCTCACGCCCTTCCCGGGGAGCTCCGAGCGGGACGCGCCTCAGCGGCCGTTCGGGCTCTGCTCCGCACGCCGCGCTCCTTTCCGCGGCTAAACCGCGGTGCCTCAGCCTTGCGAGACTCCTGGCGAGGGGCCGAAAGCTCAGAACTCCGTTTTACCGGAAAATTCCGTTTTATCGGAGAACTCCGCTTTGTCGGAGAGCTCGGCGCGGCGCTGCCGCGGGCAGGCCCGGCTCC